GATATTATTTTTTCAATGTATACCCCTCCCTCTCCCAGCTCCCAGTCAGTCCTTTCTGTGCCCCATGGCCTCTTACCTCAGCACAGTGGGACTGCCGCTGATTTGGGGTCACAATGAGGTTGGTGACAATGAAGAAAACATTTTCTCCCTGAAAAGCCAAGGACAGGACAGCATGATCCACACCCCAGACCGGGCCCACACAAATCCCCCTCCCCGCCCCCGCACCCCAGCCCCACCACAGAGGCTGTGTTTCCTCTCTGTCTGCCTCCTGTTTGAGTCCAGTGCTAGCCCCAGACCTAGGCTGTGGACCAAAAAGGTAAAGAAACCCTTTTCTACTCAAAGTGTTCATGGCTTTCATTTCACATCCTTCCGCCTCTGAGCTTTACCCCAATCCCAAGTCTCTTCTGTTCCCATGTTCCTGGCCTGAAGCCCCCTGACATCTATGGACTGATCTTAGAGAGTTCCTCCCCCCCCCCACCCCCAGCACAGTTGCTGCTGTTTGAATCTAGGCAGGAAAAGGATAGGAGGAAGGGGAGGGGAGAGAGAAGGAGAGAGGGGAGGGGAGGATTTGCTGCTTCCCCTCCCCAGCCCAGAGCCTTAGCTCTTGCTAAGGACTCAGGTCTTGTCAGACTCTGGGCTGTTGCTACTGAGATAGACCGCTAGATGAAGCCAGGCCATTCCCTCTGCTACCAAGGACAGCGGCTAAGGACTAGCGTGCGTTGGGAATCAGAACGCCAGGATCCCAGAGTCAGCAGAGACCTGGGGTTGGGATGGGGGGACCTATCGTCCACCCCAGACCTGAATAAGAGCCCACTTTAAAAGATCCCTGATAAATGGGCGATGGTCCAGGCTCTGCCTGAAGCAGGAGAGAAGCCACGCTCCCCCTGAGCAGCCCACACCGCCTTGATACACCTCTCAATGTTAGGAAATGTTTCACTAAGGCAAAAGCTGCCTCCAACTCCCGCTGCTCCTCCCCAGCCCCCAGTCCTGCCTTCTGGGGCCAAGCAGAACAGGCTGGTTATTCTTCCATAGGACAGTCCCCTGTGTCCCTCTGGTTTACTGGGTCCTGGCTCTAGAGATGGAAAGGAACCTAGAGGGCAGCGCCCTCATTTGGATAATCTGAAACCACTAAGGCTCAGTGATCTGCCAAAGTCACAGAGGGAGCCGAGGGCAGAGCCAGCATTTGAACCTGGCTCCTCTGGCTCCCTTCACGCCCCTCCACCCCACCCCCACTTCTCCAGATTCTTCAATTGCACGATGCCCCGGGTAGCCTAGCCGGGTGGGGGCTCAGACCTGGGAGGGGATGACGTAGTCCGCCACGTCCCAGAGCCGCTCCTTCAGCTCTGAAGTGTTGGTGAAGGCCACGCCTTTGACTTTGGTGATGACGGAGCTCTGGATTGCTGTACTCACTTCCTGGTAGCCTTTCTTCACCAGGAACACCCACCTGCAACAGGCAGAGGAAAGGGGTGAGGGCCCGAGCTCTGCTGGCCACATGGACACGTTGCGGCAGCAATGAGTGACGCCAAAGCCCTGGAGATACATTGTCTCATTTGAAGTTCAAGGGAACTGCAAGGCCCAGCTGTGGCGATTCAGCCTTACACAGGTCCCCCTGGGCATCCCTGGCCAAGGTGGATGAATGAGGCAATTGATCCCAGGCCTGGCGGAGAACCCTTGCTGGGGCCTACCAGCCTGGGGCCTGCCGCTTGTGCAGTGGCTTGCGGCATCAAGGCTGACCCCTGCCACTCAGAGTCTGTCCTCTGACCAGAGAACCCAGAGAAGGACCAGCTCCCCTGGGGATCGCTCTGGGCTGCACCCTGACAGCACATCCTAGAGCATCTCCCACTCTCCTTGTTGGAGGGTACTGCCCCCAAAATGCCAGAGGAGGGAAAGGGACGAGGGCCACACTGGCCTATGCAAAGGACTTCCTGCCACTCTGGTGGGCAAGGCTGGCCGATTCTCAGAGGACCCTGACCTGGCCTCACAGCCAAACTCCCAGGATCCCAGAGGGCTAGATGGGTTAGGAGGGGCCACCTCATCCAAAGATGTTAGAGCCAAACACCACCCAGCCAGGTGTGATGGAGGCCCTGTTCAAGGTCCCTCAAGGCAGGGGAACCCACAGCCTTTCTAAGGCAGCCCCTTCCACTGAGGGACAGCTTGGGTTGTCTAGAAATGCTTCCCAACCTCCAGCTTCCAGTGGCCTCTCTGCAGCCAGGACAAGCAGAACGCGACTGGTCCCTTTTCCATCTGGCGGCCCTTCACGCACTGGAAAGAAGCCGACTGTCCTGCCCGGCCTGCCCCCTCCAGACTTATCTTCTTCACACTGAATACCCCCAAAGATGCGCTGAATCAGGTTTCACCTTCTGACTGCACTTACCCGGCTCCTTCCTAAAATGAATTAGCCAGAGCTGAGCCCATAGCAGAGGACAGAGGGACCCCATCAACTCCCTGGGCCTGGACCCTGGGCCTGTCTCAAGACAGCCTGAACCTATCTTAATGCACTGTTTCTTCATTATTCTGCCACACTGTGGAGTCACACTGGGCTTGAAGGCAGTGACTGTAGGTAGAGAGGTGGCACCACAGGGCACAGAGCACTGGGCTAGGAGTCAGGAAGACTTGAGTTCAAATCGAGTCTCAGACAACTACTAGCTGCATGTCCCTGGGTAAGTCACTTCACCTCTGTCTGCCTCACCTTCCTCATCTGTAAAATGGGGACATTAAGAGCACTGCCCTTGAGGACCAAATGCAGTCATATGTGTAAAGCACTCTGCCAGCCAATGGTGCCTATTGGTCATTAGTCCACTAACCCTCTCCCCTCCCCAGATCTTTTTAGAGAAATTCCACTCTCCTTGAGCCTCAGCAACTCGCAGAGCCTCAGGTAGGGTGAAGAGTTGGGATGAGGCACAGTTTGGCTGGTGTTTTCCCTTTGCGCTTTTTCCTAAGATTTGGATCTACTCAATGAGGAGGCTGGGAGTCTCTGAAACTGAAAGGGTTATACGGTGACCGAGGCAGAGGTGCCGTCTTCCTTCCCAATTGACTTCTCTTAGTGGGAACACTTCCTCCCCTCCTCTCTTCTCCTCCTCCTCCTCCTCTTCTCCTCCTCTCCTCCTCCTCCCTTCCTCCTCCCCTCCTCTCCTCTCCTCCCTCCTCCTCCTCCTCTTCTCCTCCTCCTCCTACTCCTGTTCTCCTCTCCCATCTCCTCCCCTCCCCTCCCCTCTCCTCTCCTCCCCTTTCCTGTCCTCTCCCAATCTATTTCTCCCCGGAGGCTCAGTGACACCGCCTCCTCTTCTCTGGTTTTACACTGTTGACTCACCTTCGCTGATCGGCACACAGGAGGTATTTAATAAATGCTGGTTGACTAACTGACTTCACTTAGTTTGAAGCCTGTGCCTGACTGATCAGCACCTGTTCTAACCTGATTGAGGAATCAAAGTAGAATATTTGATCCCTCGTTCTACATGAGAAGAGGGCTTGATTTATTCCATCAGGCCCCACCTTCACATTCCTTTCTCCCAGGATGCTTTGCAGGACCCCTCACCTCCACCCTTCTTCCTAGGAAAGAATCAATGACAACCGTCTGCCCCCCTGTTCTGCTCTGCCTGCATCCTCAGCCCTGTAGTTAAACAATCTTTCTATCCCAAATAGGCAAGAAACCCTGAAGTCATCACCATTGTCTTGGTAGGTAATGAGTTCCCCGTCTCTGAAAGTTGTAAGGTAGAAAGGGAATTCCTACTTCAGACAGTCTGGAGTCCGAGACAGTCTTTCTGATTCTATGATGGGCATGAGTTTCTGATGACCAGCACGCAGAGGGATCTGAAACCATACCACATGCACCACAAGGACCAGTGAAGAGAGGAGGGATGTCACAGCTGCCTTCAAGGCCCATCATGTGGAAGCAGGGACTGGCTGTTCTGCTCCACCCTTGCTGCCAGAATCAGGAGAAATCTGTCAGGGTTGCAGATGGGACAAATGGGGCTGAGAGAATCTGCTAAGCCCCAGAGCAGCCTGTGTGGGGCGGGCTGCTGGGGAGGTGGTAATGACAACAGTGCGCTTTCCTAGAGGGCCGTGAGGTTTGCAAAACACCAGACAAATATGCTCAATTGCATTTGATCCTCGTAACAACCCTGCAAAGGTAGGGTGCTATTAATGTCTCCATTTTACAGATGAGGAAACTGAGGCAGGCAGAAGTGAAGTGACATGTCCAGGATCACCCCAACTAGTGTCTGATGCCGGATTTGAACTCGGGTCTTCCTGTTTCCAAGCTCAGCTCTCTTCCTACTGTGCCACCAGCCTACCTTGACGATGTAGGTGAGCTCATCCTCATTAGAAGAAGCCTTCGGGCAGACTGGCTGATGCCAGTTCAGGAGCACGTCAGAGATGTGGTTTCTGATCCAGCTCTGGGATCGTGACTCCTCCACAGGACAGAGGCTGAGGACGGCTATCAGGCCCAAGCAGGCTCAGCGCCTTCCAGTGACCCTCCCCAAGAAAGGAGAGGATTGTTCAGTGAGCAGTGCCCTGGATCTGGGGCCACCGGGTGAAGGCTGTGTCCCCAGGAGGCTCTGCAAGTGTGAGCCGACATCGCCACTGTCACCTGCACCCGGAGGCTTTGCCACCGCTGGCTCTAACCAAAATGCAAGCCTTGACACACCTCCTCAAGGAAGTGCCTCTTTGCGCCCCCCATCATTCCAGCCAATCAGCTTCTCCAAACCAGCCTCCCCCACCCTAGCTTGATTAGAGAGGTGTGTTCAGCAATTCTGACAGTCTGAGGTTAAAATGCCAGGAATGGTCTGGGTCCTGGAAGTAATGAGTGGATGTTAACTAAGCAGGTGCTGAATCCATGGAGAATTGAAAGAAGGAAGAAGGGAGGGAGGGAGGAAAGAGGGAAGGAGAGGAGGAAGGGAGGGAGAAAAGAGGAAAGGAAGGAAAGAAGGGAGAGAGAAGAGGAGGAGGAAAGGAAGGGAGGGAGGGAGGGAGGAAAGAAGGATGGAGGAAGGGAAGGGGGAAGGCAAGGAGAGCCTGTTAGATCCCTAGGACACCTCCTGGGCCCTTGGCCCCGGCTGCCTCCCTAGATCTGGAGGAGAGGGCAGTAGGGAGCTCAGCCAACAGGCTGTCCCTGTCAGTCAGCCCGGCCTGGAACCTAGTTGACCCTGGCTATAAATAATCCTGGCCTGGGGGATGACTCGGCCATCTTCCGGCCACCGGCACCTGGAGGACCATGGAGGGAGGGGGAAGGGAAGGGCCAAGGAAGCTGGCAGCCAAGGGGCCGTCCTGCCCCACCCCCCAGCCTTCCCTTAGTGAGGGTCTGTAAGCCGTGGGGAGGACGGGGCGGGGGGGGGGGGGTGGGGGCCTCCTCTGGCTCTCTGTCCCACCGGCCTGACACCAGGGGCTCCGGTCCCATTAGGCGCCCAACAACCGGTAAAGCGGAGGGGAGCCTCTTGGAAGGCTGGGGGTGGGGGAAGGAGAACGGGGCAGATCCCCTGAATGTCCCTGGGGCTCAGGGTCCTCAGACATGAACCTTCGGGATCCTCTCGTCTAAGCCCTTCGGTTTACAAATGGGGAAACGGAGGCCCAGACAAACCTGGTCGAGGTTACACAGGGAGGTAGATGCAGGCTAGGACAGGAGGCCAGGTACACACACACGCGCGCGCACACACACACACACACACACACACACACACACGCACACACACAGCCGAGCACTCACCCCAGCAGGTACACCAAGATGGCTAGCTGTATCAGCCGGTAGAGCAGTCCAACCTTCTTGTTCTTAACGATCACATACTTCTCCGTCTTGTAGTCGAACAGGCTGAAGCACAGGGTCCTGTAGTCCATTTGGCCCAAAGTTGCCAGCCTGGCCCGCCTCGCTCAGCCGCAGCGCTGCTCTGCGCCCACGCTAGGTTGGCCCCGCAGCTGGCGGGGGGGCGGGGCTCATCCTCAGTCCCTCCTCCCCGCCCCTGCCCGCACTGCGGCCTGGGTCCGGCCTCGAGGTCAGCCTGGGAGCTGGGCTCTCCTGGGCACAGCTCCTTCTGCAGTGCGGCTCCCAGTGCCGGGCTGACTCCGGACAGCGGACAGCAGGAGCGGGGGTGGGGCGTGCTCAGAGTGCTGGGATCTGGGGGGAGGGCGGGGCAGAGTCTCCCGCTACGAGCTTGGTCCTCCTCTTCTGCTCACCCATTCATTCGTCTGGCCAGTCCTGGGGAGGGGTCGGTGGGAAGAGGGAGAGAAGAAGGGGTAAGAGAGGAGAAGGGAAAATAGAGGAGGAGGGGGAGGAAAAGGGAGGGGAGGAGTGGGAAGCAGGGGATGGTGGCACCTGAGGGGAGGCTCCAAGGAAGGGGAGGCTTCAGAGAGAGCCAGTTAAAGTGAAGGGGGTTACCCAGCCTGGAGCTCTGGACACCACCTCGTGGACCATTTGGGCCATAAAGGTCGTGTGTAAAGGGAACATAGGCTGGGGCATGATTTTGACCCCCGCTCCAAGGTCTGGGAGGCTGCGGCTTACCCAACCTCCCCTGCCCCGACAGTGACCATAAAAGACTGGGTCTGGAAAGTTGGCCCGGCGTGCCCCATCCTTGGGCAGCTGCGGTGACTGCTGCAGCCCAGTGAGAGTGTCTGGCCTTCATCCTCTTGGTAGACGGGCCCCAGGGGGGAGGCCTCTTCCCCCAGTCCACTGCCCTGGGCTCTCCCTGGACGCCCCACCCCCAGAGCCGGGGGTGCTCCCTGGGGAGCCAGGCCCCTCTGCAGTGGCTGCTGGCAGGACAAGCCCTCACACCTGGCCGCCGGCTGGGGCAGGGCAGACTTCTCCAAGCCCACCCCAAACCAGTGTGCCCAGTTTTACTTGGGTTTTTCCACGAAAGGCTGCTGCAGCTTTTACAACAGCGAGCCTAGCAGTGACCGAGCACCCACAGTGGGCAGAGTGTGGCTGGCAGGCTGGAGGGCCCATGGAAGGGAAGGGAGAGACACCCACTTGGAGCACAGGTGTCAGTCAGTAAGTGCATGGCTCCCTATGACTTTTGGTTAGAGGGACACAGGCCTCCTGATTGGTTTTTTTAATTGATTTATTTTGATTTATCAAAACACTGACTTCCATAAGCTTTTGAGTTTTAAATTTTTCTCCCCCTCCTTCCCCAAGACGGCACACAATCTGATATAGACTCTACATATACATCCCCATTAAACATATGTTCATATTAGTGATGTAGTGAGCATTAGAACCAATAGGAGGAACCACCAGAAAGAAGAAACAAAACCCAACAGAAGAAAAAAAAAACAGCAAACAGTGTGCTTTGATCTGCACTCAAACTCCATAGTTCTTTCTTTGGACGTGGGTAGCATTTTCCATCACGAGGCCTTTGGAGATGTCTTAGATCTTTGCATTGCTGAGAGGAGTTAAGCCTACCAATATTAGTCATCGCACGACATGACTGTTATCGTGCACGACGTTCTCCTAGTTCTGCTCACTTCACTCTGCATCAGTCCATGCAAGTCTTTCCAGGTTTTTCTGAAGTCTGCCTGCTCATCATTTCTTATAGCTCAATAGTATTCCATTACATTCATATGCCACAACCTGTTCAGCCAATTGATGGGCATCCCCTCAATTTTCAATTTCTTGCCACCACAAAAAGAGCTGCTATAAATATTTTTGTACATGTGGGTCCTTTTCTCGTTTGTATGGTCTCTTTGGGATACAGCCCTAGAAGTGTTATTGCTGTGTCAAAGGGTATGCACATTTTTATAGCCCTTTGGGCATAGTTCCAAATTGCTCTCCAAAATGGCTGAATCATTTCACAACTCCACCAGCAATGCATTAGTGTTCCAATTTTCCCATATCTTCTCCAACATTTATCATTTTCCTTTTTTGTCATGTTGGCCAATCTGATAGGTATGATGTGGTACCTCAGAGTTGTTTTGATTTGTATTTCTCTAATCAATAGTGATTTAGAGCATTTTTTCATATGACTATAGATAGCTTTAACTTTTTTTTTTTTTTTAGGCAGTTGGGGTTAAATGACTTGCCTGGGGTCACACAGCTAGTAAGTGTCAAGTGTTTGGTCTGAGGCCGGATTTGAACTCAGGTACTCCTGACTTCAGGGCCAGTGCTCCATCCACTGCGCCACCCAAGATTTATAGATAGCTTTAATTTCTTCATCTGAGAACTGCCTGTTCATATCCTTTGACCATTTATCAATTGGGGAATGACTTGTATTCTTATAAATTTGACTTAATTCTCTATGTATTTTAGAAATGAGGCCCTTATCAGAGAGACTGGTTGTAAAAATTCTTTCCCAGTTTTCTACTTTCCTTCTAATTTTGGTTGCATTGGCTTTGTTTATGCAAAAACTTTTCAATTTAATGTAATCAAAGTTATCTATTTTGCATTTTGTAATGTTCTCTATCTCCTATTTGGTCATGAATTCTTCTGTTCTCCATAAATCTGATAGGTAAACTATTCCTTGCTCTCCCAGTTTGCTTACAGTATCAGCCTTTGTATCTAAATCGTGAACCCATTTTGACTTTATTTTGGTAGATGGTGTGAGATTTTGGTCTGTGCCTAGTTTCTGCCATATTCTTTTCCAGTTTTCTCAGCAGTTTTTGTCAAAGAGTGGGTTCTTACCCCAGAAGGTGGGGTCTTTGGGTTTATCAAACAGTGGATTACTATGGTCATTGACTACTGTGTCCTGCGTACCTAACCTATTCCACTGATTTATCACTCTATTTCTTAGCCAGCACCAAGCAGTTGTGATGATTGCTGCTTTATAATACAATTTAAGATCTGGAATGGCTAGGCCACCTTCCCCTGCATTTCTTTTCATTAGTTCCCTTGATATTCTGGACCTTTTGTTCTTCCAAATTATTTTTTCTAACTCTATAAAATAAGTTTTCGGTAGTTTCATTGATAAGCCTCCTGATTGTTCCACAAACAACTCGCTCTATCCCCAGCTTTCATGTCTTTGCACTGGCTGTGCCCCATGCCTGGAATGCCCTCCTTCCTCTTCTCCATCTCTGAGAATTCCTGGCGTCCTTCAAATCTCACATCTCCAGGCCTTTGCCAGTCCCCTGGGGTACATGGAATGTTCAGAAGGACGAGCCCTCTGCTGCTCATCCACCTTTGGGGTTCACCTGTCCCCCAATTCTCACCTGTGGACCCAAGAAGCTGGAGCATAAGCAGCAGCCACAGCCCAGTAAAACCATCTCAGCTGACTGGCCAAGCCTGGCTGAGGGTAACTGAAGGGCCTCAAACCCATCAGTGACTTAGGCAGTGTCTACCCCAAGCGCGTGAAGCCTTTCCCGAGCAGAATGGGCAGATGAGAACAATTTGTCTCAAGGGCCACGAAGGTGGCTGAAGCAGGTGCTGTGGAGCACTTGTGACTTGGTCAGACACGGAGGCCATCAGGGCCATCCACTTGTCTGGCCACTGAACGTAATGGCTCTGGAGGAGAGAGTGAGGCTGATGACTCATGCACCTCTGCCTCACTTCAGTCTCGTTCCCGGGTGACTTAGGACATGAGCCTGGGATGGTGTTGATCCTTTTGGAGAACAAAGGCCGAACAAGGAGGTGTGGGCGATGGCTCTGTCCACAGAACCACCTGGCTGCTTCAAGGGAACCCTCAGGATTTTCAATGTCATCCCCAAGAGTCGAGTTTATGGGTATGGGATCATGTGGAGAAAGAGAAGATCTTCTCGGAAGAGCACTCACAGAGGGCTGAACCCAGGACCAAGAGCCCTACTGGGGGTGGAAACAGTGAAAGGAGTGGGGTCAGGTCCCAGAAAAGAGTGGCTAATGGGGCCTCAACTCCCCCAGTGACCATGAGATCACACTGGACCACAGTGACTCCCAGGAGACCGTTGGCCATGGCCTGGGTTCCCATTCCATCTCGGAGACCTCTATGGGACTCAGGTCCTCTGCCTTCCTGTTCTCAGTCAGTCCTGTGACCTTCAATCTGATCCTCCCCAGAACCTCCCTCGCCCCCACACACACACTGGGTGATCCAGCCCACAGGCTAGAGGCCATCAGAGCCACTGAGGAGACCTCAGCAGTGTGGCGGCACCATGAAAAAGCAGACGAGTCACCACGAAAAATCTCGGGTCTGAGGGGCAGCCAAGCTCCAAAGTCGAATGAGGGGAGGGGCCTTGCCCAGGGTTCCTCCTTGCTCTCACAGGCTGGCTATGCAGATTCCTGAGTTCTCAGCTGCTTCTGGGAAGCAAAGCGAGGCTCAGGACCTCCTTCGGTGCACCCGGCTTTCTCCTTCACTGTTTGCCAGCACCCTTTGACCTCTTAGCCCTGGCTTAAGACCCCCAGGCCCCTGGACTTCTCGAGCCCCGTGTCGGTTTGCCCCCTGCCAGATCCCTACGTCCTCCTCTCCACTCTCCCCTTTTGTTATCTCCTCTCAGAAGTCAAAGAATCTCAGGTTTGGCATCTGACCCACTCCCCCTCTTAGGGCAGCGGGAAGCCCTGACCACTTCTACTTTCTTTGTCTCTCTGGGGGCAGGCAGCACAAATCTAACCCCCTTCCCTGAGGCAGCCTCTCAGAGACACCGAGTCATTCCCAGCCCCACCTTCTCTTCCCCAGACTCCACAGGCCCAGGCCTCCCATGATGGGGACTCAGGGATCTCCCCAGCCTAGTGCCCTCCTCTGCACACTCTCCAGCTCATCTGCGTCCCTCCTAGCCCGAGATGCCCAGATGGGTCTGAGCAGGCCAGGGCACAGCAGGCCCTCACCAGCCTGTTGTGGAGCTCTGCATCTCCCTTCAGCTGAGTCCGCATGCACTTTCCAGACAGCAGCATCA